AAAAAAAAAAAAAAAAAAAAAAAAACATAAAATAAAATAAACACTTTAATTTAAAAAAAAAAAATAATAAAAGATTATTTAGGTAAAAACATTTTTTTTCATTTTTAAAAGTATACCATTATTTTTTAATTTTTTTTTTAAAAAGTCTGTTTATTTTAAGAAATTCAAGGATTTAATAAAACTTTAAAAAAAATTTAATTAAATTATTAAAAAAAAAACTCGCACTAGTTTATTTTATTTATTTTTATTTTTGAAATATTGATTTTATTTTTACTTTTTATTTTTATTTTTGAAATATTGATTATTTATTTATTTATTAATTTAGCCTTTTCACTTATTTTATATTAAATCTAAGAATGTATCATTCAAATTAATTATAAACAAAATTACGATTTTTAATTAGTGGTTAATTTTAAGAGTTAAATGGATATTTCACAAGTCTGTAAACGACACGATTATTTTTAAATTTTAATTGATATAATAATTAGTTTATGTTTTTTTTTTTATTAATAAACTCATATAATTTTTTTTAAATAAATTAAAAAATATAAATATGATAAAAAAAATTTAGTTTCAAATAATTATATATAAAAACTAAAAAAAGTTAAATTTAAGTTTAAGAAAAAATTGTTATAATATTTATGATAAATTTAATTATCATATTATTTACTGTTTTAAAATTTTAAAACTTATTATATTATTTTAAAATAAAAAAACAAAATTATTTTATATTTTATTAAAATAAATCTAACAAATATTATTTTCTAAAAAAATATTAGAGGGTAAAATAGGAATATGATAAACTTGAATTATACCTTTTGAAGAAAACCCTATTCTATAAATTCGTTACACTCTCCTGATTCTAATTCTCTTGAGCTTTTTGCCGTACTCTCTCGCCCCTCTCTAGCCCAGAACAATTTTCAGGAGCTCCGAGAGTAAATTCGGCAATCATGTTGGTTTACCAAGACCTCCTCACTGGTAAATTCTCTAAATTAATGTTTTTGTTTTCGATTGTTTTTGGTTATTTTCGATTTATGTTCGTTGTTTTCGATTTAGGGAGGTTTGTTTTGGTTATATAATTATTTTTTATTCATGTCAGGGAGGTTTTCCATTCATGTTATGGAGGTTTGTTTAGGTTATAGGGCTTCGATTTTCCATTGTTGCAGCTTTTTATGTCTCTGATTTCTATGGATTCTTTGGTTAACTTTCAGATCTGGAGCATATTTGTGATTTTATCGATTTTGCTTTACTCGTAGTGATCTGATTTATGAGATAGGGTAACAAAATATGCGGTAGCTTTTGGTTAGCTTTTGTGGGAGAGCGATTGTGGCTTTCTTGTATCAGCTTTCAAATTTGAATGAATATTTACAGTACTTTGAATCAGTATGTTATGATTTTGGTTTATTGTTGAAGAGTTTTGTTTTTGGGTCGTAGAATCTGAGATTAGAGTTGAGAGCTTCGGCTGTGCTTTAGATGATTTGATGCTATTGTTAGTAATATTTTTTCTAGTTTGGTGTACATGGATTCGTTCCCTTCATTGGTGACAAAGCAATTGTTTTTAATTTTGATATCAGGTGACGAGCTTCTCTCGGATTCGTTCCCATACAAGGAACTCGAGAATGGAATGATCTGGGAAGTTGAGGGAAAGGTCAGTAGACTTTGTTTATTGTATGCTTTTTCACTTTTTCATGGAAAGAAAACGTCGTGTCTTAATGCTACCGAGTATATAGTTACTGAAACTCAGTGTTAGCCTAACTGAATGAGTATTCAGCACAATACTTTACTACTTGAATCATTATGCTGCAGTGGGTCGTTCAAGGAGCGGTCGATGTGGACATTGGTGCAAATCCTTCTGCTGAAGGTGACGGTGAGGATGAAGGGGTTGATGACCAAGCTGTGAAGGTGGTTGACATTGTCGACACCTTCAGGCTTCAGGTAGGCATGCCTTCTGGTTAAGACATTCAAGGATTGTTGCAAGTTTTTAATTTAAGGGCATACTTGGGAGTGATTTTATTCAAATCACTGCTATTAAATCTTTCCCAAACTTGACCTAATTCTATTTTTCTTTCCACTTTGGGATTCCAGGAGCAACCTACCATGGACAAGAAGCAGTTCATTGCATACATTAAGAAGTTTATCAAATTGCTGACACCTAAGCTGGAAGGAGAGAAACAGGAGGCATTTAAGAAGAACATTGAAGGAGCAACTAAGTTTCTGCTTCCAAAGCTCAAGGACTTCCAGTTGTAAGTACTTCCCTTTGTTTAGGCTATCTTTTATTGGCATTACATCTTTAGTAATAGAAATATTTGAACTCAACACAGCAAACCAAATCTTACCATTTGTGATAATTTACGTTCTTTGTATTTTAACATTGCTCTTGAACACCCTTTTTTTGAATCGATATGTGGTGGATGGATGAAACCGGAGCGTTCGAGCTTTTAGTGCTTCTCCTAAAAGCAGCACTTACAGAACCTAGTGTTTTTAGAATTTTCAATATTCTCAAAGTTTTAAGTTTTCTTACCATTAGAATGATTCCTAATTGTATTATATGTTCTTTTGCAGCTTCGTGGGAGAGAGCATGCATGACGATTCCTGCATCGTGTTTGCATACTACAGGGAAGGAGCCACTGACCCAACATTTTTATACCTTGCCCCAGCTTTGAAGGAAGTCAAGTGCTGAAAGAACAGAACAAAAGATTGAAGCAGAATGATTCATGTTGCACTCATTGTTTCAACTATATTTGCCTTTTTCTCTTGACGTTTGAATTTGGATAATTTGGAAGATTTGGGCTGTTTTTGTTTTGGTTTGTTCTCTGGGGTTTCCTTGTTTTGACCTAATTTACTTGGGAGTTTATGTTCTGATGAGTGCAAATGTTAAACTCTATTTATAAACCTTAGTCAATCTCTACTTTTATAATATTCTGCTTTAGTTATTTTGGGCTTGTGATGAACCGTTTCAGTTAATATTTGTTATAATCAGATCTTAATTCGCAAGTTTCAAGTTCTTATACTATTTGTTAATCATTAATCATTTGAGTTCATTAATGTAAAGTGATTGGGGCCATAATAATTGCTCGATATCGAGATTTTATAGCGTACAATTTTGATAATCATTCAAGTACTTTAGGTAACGTCTTTACTTTTGTGTATACATTATTTGAATGTCTTATGAACATAAATACGTTAGTCTCCTCGAACTAAGATGAAATTATATTAATCCACTCGAACTAAGATGAAACTTTAGCTTGTTATACAAGATAAATTATTCCATGATACTTGATAAAAATAAAAATAAACATTGTCAATCAAGGCAAATGCAATTTTCACCAAAAAAGAAACCTAATATTTGAAGACAGGAACAGGATGGATTCGACGGAGCCTAAGACAGAGAAATCCTGACCCGTTCAGTGACCTTTTTATTCTCTACAAAAATAGATTTGGTTCACTCCATGGGTTTGGGTGGCCTCTTCACAATCATAACGGAGCAATGGGCATGGTGAGCACAGTAGGCACTTACACTGCCCAGGTTCATCCTGTTCAACAAAAACAATTTGAATCGATCACTTGGTTCTTTCTACTAGGATGGATATTTCGATTCTTGTAGTAAGGGGAGTCTTACCCTTTTACTACTCCATAGTTATGACTTCCAACAACCAAAAGGGACGCATGGTGCTTCTCTACTGCATCGCACATTACATTCCTGGCATCACCCTCCACAACTTCAGTCGTCACGTTTTGGACCTACAAAGGCAGAATATTATCACCATGAACATGCTAAATGGGTATGCTACAGATTTTGCACAATAGATGCTGCTCCTATTTCAACTTCATATAAGAGTAATTGAACTTATAATTTAATCTAAAAGTAATCGAAGAACGTAGGGTGAAGACCTAAAAGTCTTACCACTTGATCCACCAATCAAAATATATGTTTAATTAAAAAATCGAACTTATAATTTAATCTAAAAGTAATTGAAGAACGTAGGGTGAAAGTCTTGCCACTTGATCCATCAATCAAAATGTATGTTTAGTTCAAAGACACTCATAATTTAATCTAAAAATAATTGAAGAATGTAGGGCGAAGATTCAGTCTTACCACTTGATCCACCCATCAAATTATATGTTTAGTTCAAAGACCAAACTTAAAGTTTAATCTAAAAGTAATTAAAAAAGGTAGGGTGAAGATTCAAGTCTTACCACTTGATCCATCAATCAAAATATATGTTTAGTTCAAAGACCAAACTTAAAGTTTAATCTAAAAGTAATTAAATTAAAGAATGTAGGATGATGATTCAAGTCTTACCACTTGATCCACCAATCAAAATATATGTTTAGTTCAAAAACTGAACTTAAAGTTTAATCAAAAGTAATCGAAGAATGTTGGGGGAAGATTCAAATCTTACCTCGATCCACCCATCAAAATATATGTTTTAATCAATGGAGAATGAACTTTTTAATCAATGAAGTTTGTAAACAAGTAATTCAATCATCAATCAGAAGGGAAGAAGGGAAGCAGATTAAGAGCAATGCAATTCAGGTCACTATTTGGGGAACGGCTTTTTAAGTAGCCAATTCTAGCTGGAGATTAATGTGGTGTAATCATAAATTTTTTCAATGAAATTGGAAGTTACCTTGTGTTCAATGCATATTTCCTTCGCTCTTTGGACAGTCCTGTTGCCAATTTTCTTCAAATCTTCATCTAGCAAGGGCAAAACATTCTCGGCGGCTGTATTTCAACATTTTGTTACAAACATGATAATCGTTCTGGGAAAACGTTATAAATCATTTACAGAACAACACAACAAGGTAGATAAGATTTCTGTTCAATACCATCCCCAAATGGATCATTTCCATTCAATACAGACTTCTCGATTCGCTTCAACTGTACACAGCAAAACTCTAAATAATTTCATTCTCTCTTCACATCTCGATACTCATAATCAAGAACATCAGTAAGTTCAGTTTTCACTGTGTTTGATACCATCGTTCATGAATCAACGTCAATTCTAACTTATTCTTCAAGTTCATTTCATCGGAGCCAAATGGAACAACAAGAAGATCAATAAATTTCAATCTCTCGTCACATCTCGATACTCAAAATCAAGAAGATCAATAAAGTCAGTTTTCACTGTGTTCGATACCATCGTTCATGAATCAACATCAATTCTAACTTATTCTTCAAGTTCATTTCATCGGAGCCAAATGGAACAACAAGAAGATCAATAAATTTCATTCTCTCGTCACAGCAAAACTCAAAATAATTTCATTATCTCGTCACACCTCGATACTCAAAATCAAGATCAATAAATTCAGTTTTCACTGTGTTTGATACCATCGTTCATGAATCAACATCATTTCTAACTTATTCTTCAAGTTCTCATTTCATCGGAGCCAAATGGAACAACAGACTCTTTAAAACCAAAATAGAGATCAGGAGAATCGGTATACCTGGACCGGAAATTGCAAGAACGCTAGAAGGAGGTGGTTTAGCGTGGACAATAACAAGATTGTGAGGAATATCGTTAGGGCCAAAGAAATGTTGGAGCATCCACCTCAAGGCGTAGAAGCTGTGCTCAGTTTCATCGACGCCAATCACCAGCACCTTATCAGCCATTGTCGAACAAGTTGAGAAATCTCCACACCGTGAGAAAACTGATCGATCGAAACTTACAGAAACGCTCTCTTGATCTATAGAAAACTTTCTTACAAATTATGAAGGCCACATGAGATTGAGAACGAAATTGCATTCCAAGAATAGTGAATCATTCGTGGAGAAATCAGTTGAGATTCTGAAGGACGGCCACATCATTCGCAACACTTGGACCGATCCGATTATTAAAATATTAAAATTAGTTTTTTTCTTTAAGACTTTTTTAGCGTCCATCTCTCTATTGGTCTAGTTGCTTCGTCCCTCTCTTTAAAGGGCAAGGGTGATAGCATTGATTAAGTGTCTCTCTAAGATTCCTACTAAACTTGGGCTCGAGTGACCTTAGCCTAAATTTCTTGACAAGCACGAGGTCGATATAATACATGAAAAGTTATCTATACAAATACATATTTAACATATTCTCAAGAGACCATTTAAACTCCTGTTCGAGTGTCAGTTACCTTGTCTTGCAATCATGCATGTTTTCGTGAGGTATTGTGTTGAGATAAGCTTAGTTCTATTTGAAGCATAATTATCATAGTTGGTACCAAGTTTTATATCCGAATGTAGCTCTAACCTCGTTGATTGGCTAATTATTCAGTGTGTTTTGAAAACTTCTTTGTTTTCCTCGTTACTCTCAATTCTCTTCTTTGCACGTATATAATAATGTATAAGTATATCAAGTTAAGAAGTCGGGTCTTTACATTAATACTAAACATAATTTGATAATATATAGCCATTTTTTAAAATTTTATATTTTCTTTGAGGTTTATAGTTTATACAAATAATTGAATTACATATAAACCACCATTAATGTGTATAATAATTACTAATCCTCGGATAACGACAGTAGATTCAAATAACAATAACTTAACAAACAAACTATGCGGTGTTTCATTAGATTAGTCGAAATTATGATATAAGCTATAACAACCTGCCATTAACCATAAACTAGTTTATGCACAACTCAACTAGTCTCACGGGACAACCAACTTACTTGTGAACCTTAGGCCCGATAAAATTAAAAACAATAATCGTGTATGAAATTTAATGAGAAAACAATATCCATATCCCTCATGTTCTTGAAGAACTAGAACAATAAGGATTAAGAGATGATCTGAAAAGAAGAAAGACATCCAAGCTACAGATTATCAAAGCCAAAAGAAAGAATCATCAATAGATTCAATGCTATATATATCTGGGATTACAATCCTTGTTGTTCTTGATCAGGCTACAGTAATACACAGTAAAGATGTGGGAAAAAAAAAAAAAACATGTTTTCTTTTGGTCTCTTGAGAAAAAAAAAAAAAAAAAAAAAAAAAA